TAAGGAATGACAACGCAAGTGCGACTTCTCTACATCGTGCACTTATTCATGTAAGCCCAAACTTCACTCTTTCCCCGAAACAAGAAAATTACATTTACATGCACAAGCAAATAAAGTGTGACACGAGGTACTTGCATGTCGTGACAGGTGTGGCGGGGTGACTGGACCATGGCATGTTGCGATCGTCAAGATGCATCTAATGGCCTCAACAAGCTTTCTCGTTGATTTAGTGTCTCGATTTAGCACATGTGAAGGAGCATCCGTACTCATGCCCAATGAATGTAGGTATTGAATCATGCAACCTTAATAAATATCGCCTCTCCATCTACTTTCCTCAATGGTCTAATTGCGTAAATTATGACATCTTGCACGCTATATAAAATAGAATAATCTTATGTGAAAGACATGTAAGGCTACTTCCAATGCATTGGTGCTGACATGAGGTGCTAAGCACATTAAAAACTTTAGCAACTAAGGGGGTGCTTGGATACGTTTTAGTCTTATAACTAAAAGTAGTGGGACTAAAACTTGCTAGCCTCACCCATGCTTGAATCCAAATACTAAAGAGACTAAAATCAAGTTAATGAGCATTTATTATCCCCCAAACCCTCCAATCTAGAACTCGCCTATGTTAAAGGAGAGGAGTTAAATAAGGAGAGAGAGGACTAATACACATTTTAGTAGGGGTACCCCTGACTAAAAATTTTTAGTCCCAAAACTAGTTTTAGCCTCTCTTTACTCAGGGGTGCTTGAAACTTTAGCCTCTTAAAGAGACTATTTTTAGTCAGACTAAAATAAGTCCCTTGGATCCAAGCACCCTCTAAAGCCCCCAATGCATAGGTGCTTAACTTGTTGGTGCTAAGAATCCTTCATTTAATGATTTTGCAAATAAAGTTCTACATGCATTGGTGGGATTCTTCTCTTTAAGAGTTTTGCCTAGGTTCAATTTACTTTTTCTGTGCGCATAGTGGACCGGGTGAAACAAACAAAGTAGTTGAAGCCATTTTTCTTCAGTTCAGTGAAGAGCTTCACACAAAAAAGTATAAACCTCAAGGTCCAAAAGGCAAAAGCTAACTGGAAAAAAAATCAGGACAGCGTTACATGTCCGCCATGGGGGACGAGGTGGAGGAGGACAAAAGAGGGCAGCTTCCGCAAGATCTTGAGATGTGTGAAGACTAGTGCAGACAGCGCATCAGCTTATTAGCACCACCACAGCCAGCAGCGCCCCCACCATCCTCCAGTTCATTCCTCTCCCCAAACCTGCTGCAGGTAGTTTGCCAAGAACAAAGCACGCAAAGCCTACCGATCGATCGATCGATCGATCGGAATCGATCTCATGCGGCAGCTCTGCCCATCCATCTGAGATCGACTGATCGATCGCCAGGTGTGTATACCCGTTAATTTCCATGGGGGGCGACGGCAAGTTGGGCGCCGCCGAGGCCGCCGTCTGCTGCATGTGCGGCGACCACGGCCTCCTGCCGGAGCTGTTCCGCTGCGCCGCCTGCTCCGTCCGCTCCCAGCACACGTATGTATCCTACTATCTCTTTTCCGTTGACGCATATGTGTGATTAGAAGAGTTAATTGTGGATTTGCTTGCATGGATATTCTTGGATACGGGGATAGCTAGGTTAATTAGCAACGACGGCAGGTTCGTGAAATAGGAGGATTTTCTCTGTGTGTGTGAAATGGTTCTAACCGATCGACGACACAGCATATCACAAACATGTGCACATGGAATTAGCTAACACACCAACATACGCAAGCATTGATTCGCATATGGCTATTCATCATTAATTCCGCATCATCATCATCTAGCTTGACGTACTTGTGTACTTGAATTCATCTAGCTTTGAAGCACCATACAATGCCAGCAGTTAATGGATTAGTTTCGTGCTTGGATTCATCTGAACCAGAACTGTTCAATGGCAATCCCCTTCTGAGTTTCCATCGGTATATAAGTATATTTGGTGACACGTTTGGCATACACATATCTATCTCCGATATATCATTTTCGCCACCCTGTGCCCGGCCCGCCCCTACATCCAGCCAATTAATCTGTTCCGACTTTTTGCACGATTCCACGAGAATTCGTCAACAAAATGGGGCCGGCCAAAGACCCAAGAGATATACACACATCCGATCGATGTTGATATAAAGCTGTACGGTCGCTGTACCCTGTATAGACTACCCGGCTAGTTCAGTCAGCTGCATCGACCGGTCGCCATTGTTCAGTTCTTTGATCTTTCGCGTGTCTATCATCTGAAAATGCGTGCGACAGTGCATGCAATTACGTTATACATGCACTCCATGTATCTGCATGTACTCCGTATGTACGTACTACCTAGCAACTAAATGTGTACACATGGTCATGTGTCACGTCAGGTACTGCACGGATCGGTACCCGAAGGCGGAGGCGTACGGCACATGCAACTGGTGCCTGAGGGCAGGGCAAGGAAGCGGCGACGGCGGCGGCGCCGTTCCTAGCCCGGTGATATCCACCTTCAAAGCGCCCGGGCCGGCCGCTGACCGCATGGATGTCCCGGCTTGCAGCGGTGGCAGTAGATCGATGCCGGGGAAGGTCGCGGCTCGCGGCGACTTCGCCGCGGAGTTGAACAAGCCTATCAAGAAGCAGCAACAGCGGCGGCGGCTCCTGCTGCAGCGGTCGGCGTCTGACGTGAGCAGTGGCGTCCGTGCCAACCGCGGCGCCGGGCCGCCCTCTCCTGGCGTCGCCCGGGGAAGACCGAGGGTTCGGAGGTACAAGCTCCTGGAAGAGGTGATCAGTAGCTAGCTTAGCGAAGCGATACACGGTTTTGTTTTTGTTTCGTGGAGGACGCGTGCGTATTTAAGCATGTATGTACGTGTAGCGGCGCTGGAGTTGTGGCTGTATGTGATGATGAGTTCTGATTCCTGTACTTGTTAACATGATGAGTTGCTAACACTGGAAAAATAATGTGCAATAGCGTATAGAGAATTGTCTCACTAAATAAATCAGTATACAATGTCTTGTTAATGTCACTCTATAGTGCACTATAGCACGCTAATAATATAATTTAAAGGGTGTCGCTATTTTATATGGCATGCTATTTTTTCTAACCTTGGTTGCTAATATAACATGATGTTCGATCATTCGCTTGATTTACTAATATTTCAGTATGTGCGCATGCATGCAATGGGGAACATTCTAAGCCTGGCTTTCACCCCGCTATATACATATAGCAACCACCCGATACATCTGAGAATTCACTGCTGGGGCAGATAGCACAAGCACGCTAAAAAAAATAAAAAAATAAATAAAAAGAAACTAATAACAACAGAGTTGGATTGACAAAAACGATGATGATCCGCAGCTGCTGCGCCCTCCGGAGATTTCCATTGCACTCCTAGCACTTCGGACCACCGCATACCAAGC